CTTCCCCCACATACTGCCCTCCATATACTGCGCGGCCCTCCCCCTACATACAGCCCGGCCTCCCCCCCCAATACTGCCTGGCCTTCCCCCACATACTGCCCATCCCTCCCCATCCCCCCATATTTTCCAGCCTTCCCTGTCTTCCCCTCATACTTCCCAGTCTTCCCCATCCTTCTCCCTTCCCAATGCTACTGGCATTCCCAATACCCCCATAGTGCCCGGACTTCTCCATCCTCACCCCATAATTCCCAGCCTTCCCATCTCCCTATACTGCCCCGCCTTCTCCGTCCCCCTCATAGTGTCCAGCCCGTCCTCCAGACATGGAGGCCCTGACTCAGGGGACCTGGGCTTTGGCCTCACCACTGTCTCTACATCTGTAGGGCTGCAGCCACCAAGTGCAGGTGTGTCAATGGACAGACAGGCCTCTGGGACCCTCCTGGTGGGCCTGAGGGTGATCAGGGAGGCAGGCTGTGTCACTTCAGAGACACCATCCCCTAGTGTAGCAGCCTGGAGTCCCTGTACCCACAGCACTGAGCTCCTATGACCCTGGCCACCCCTTCCCCCCTTCCTGCCTGCACCTCACCCACACACTGTGCCTCCCCAGGCCTGGAGGCAGCACGTGGTTTGCTGTCTTGAAGGCCTGAGAGCTCTACCCGGCCCGAGCGCTGGCCTTAACTTCTCTGTCTTGTTGCACTGGCCCCAGCTCGGTCATCTCTGGCTGCAGCAGCCCTCTTCTCACCACGTGCATGAGCGAGCGCATGGCCGCCCTCACCCCCTCCCCTACCTTCTCGAGCCCTGACTCCGACGTCACCGTCACCGAGCTGGCTGAGGAGCGGAGCGTAGGGGAGGAGGAGGACGACCTGGAGGAGGACGGCGTCTTTGTGGAGCACGGGCTATGCCACGGCCGGGACCCGTTTTACGACCGGCCCCCACTGTTCAGTTTAGTAGGAAGGTTGGTGAGGCCAAGGCGCATGCTGGGAGGGACCCAGCTCTTTTTTCACAGAGCACTACTGTGGGCACCTTTCAGCCACTACTGCAGGGCATGGCCCAGGTGTGTAAGAGCAAGTGTGAAGGACCAGGTGTGCCAGACACAAGTGTGAGGGGCCAGGTGTGCAGGGCACAAGTAGGAGAGCCCAGGTGTGGGGCATGTAGGTGTGCACAGGTATGGGACCCAGGTTTGTGAGGCCCTGTTATGTAGGACGCAGGTATGTGGGACCTAAGTGTGTAGGACACCAGTTTGTGGGACCAGGTGCGCAGGACATGAGTGTGTAAGAACCAAGTGTGTGAGACCTGGTTGTACAAGGACCAGGTGGGGCCCAGGTGGGTAAGAGATGAATATGTGGGGCCTACATGTATAGGACACAGGAGTGTGGGAACCAAGCGCTCAGGACTCAGGTACGGGGGACCCGGGAGTGTAGGATATAAGTGTGTAATGTCCAGGTGTGCCAGGTCCAGTGTATGGGACTCAAATGTTTGGGGTCTGGATTAGCTGTGCCCAAGTGCGGTATGGGACCCAGGTGTGCGACACAGAGGCGTGTAGGACCCAGATGTCGAGAACCTAGATGTGTGGTATTCAGGTGTTTGGAATCAAGCCCCAGGTGTACATTTTCCAGATGTGTGAGGCCAAGTAAATGCAACTCTGACTTGCAGGGTCAAATGCACAGAGCCGTGGGTTTAGGTAGATGAGACCCAGGAATGTTTGGGACCCAGGTGTGCAGAATCCAGACCTATGGGACCAAGTGTGAAGGACTCGACTGTGCGGAGTCCAAATGTAGCAGACCCAAGTGTATGTGGCCTTGACGTGTGGAGTCCCACGTGTGAAGGGTTTGGGTGTATGGGGTTAAATTGGGGAGGTACGGGGGTAACTCCTCCTTCCCTGGGTGGTGAGGCAGGTGGAGGTGTTGGTCTCCCCAAGGAGAGGGCCATGAAGGAGCTTGAGGGCGCCTGACAGCATACTGTCTACCACCAGTCTTCATGTTGTCCAGTCCTCAGCCACAGAGAGAGGCAGGCAGAACGGGCCTGGACGGGCAGGGCCCACTCCCGGACGCAGAGAGGGCAGGCAGAACGGACCTGGACGGGCAGGGCCCACTCCCGGACGCAGAGAGGGCAGGCA